GCTGAGGGACCGTTAGAGCTGACGCACTTACGCCCTGCGTGTAGAAATATCTCGGCAAAATCACTGGACCCGCACGCTATTTGTCCCACAGGGATAGGGGAAGAGGGGATCTTGACAGTAACAGTAATAAGTTCATCAAAGAGACAGATGCTCTCTGACGGACTTATTGTGATCACGTTTCGTATCCGTACATTGCTGGTTTCAGAGGTGAACAGAGTTATCTTTTTACCGTTCTTTTATTTTTCATAGTAGTCCTTTCATCGTCAATAATGTGAAATTTGTATCAACCAACATCTTTTTAAGTGCTCACTTCAACTGAAGATCATAGCTTGTTTATTTAGTAGCCAAGATAGACGTAACTGTCAGCTTTTTTGAGTTAATGCATTCTCACTCGTCTTCAAAATCACTTCATTTTCGCTGATTTTCGATTCCACCCCTTTATCTTTGTTCGCTAAGCCCTAATAACGTCAGATTCATCTCGCAAGAACGAAGATTTTTTGCGGCTGAAAGCGACATTTGTGGCGGAGGGGGTTCTTCAGGAGAGTACCTATAAATATTTTTTGGCGGATATCCACCCATAAATATTTTTTAATGGTAAATCTGTGTTCATATTTTTCGAAGAACTTATTGATGTTCAATCGATTTGGTCAGATAGGACGGCGTAATTTTTAAAAAACTGACTTTTACTTGCAGGAGTTACCCGTCCGTTACATAAAGATGCGGATTTCCCGAAACACTCACCGGTGGCTTTATCAGTGGACACATCAACAGCAAGATGTCGTGGTAGACCTCTTTTTAATCGCTGTTTTCAGTTTTTTTTTTACCACTTAGAAGAATTTGTCTGCAATTGTTCATAAGTCGATGCTATAATATTTTATGGTTTAAGGCCCTCTTGCTATTGGATATTCGCTGATGTCGTCGATGGAAATGCTTGCGAATGGCATGAAAGGTGCTGGCGTTCACTTCCTACATTTTCATGGAGATCAGCTCTGGTCAGCTTTATTTTAAAGTATTTATCCTTGTTTAGCATTGGCTCGAATTATGAAGGCGTATGTGGACATTAAATGAAGAAATGAGAATTTCAGCCAGAAGTGCAAGAAAATAAGCCAGAATGAGACAAATTTAGTCAAAAATTTGCAAGGTTCAGTTAAGAAAGTGGAACGATTGTGAGGTTGAGAAGGGGCAAGCAATCCGGGGAAAGGGGAGGAGAGGGGAAAGAAGCTACTGAAATGCAGTAAAAGTAAGAAAACTGTTTTGAAAACAGTCTGTTTGAAGAAACAAGAAAAAACATAGAGATATTTATTCGGAGGGGATGCAGAGGATCTATTAAATATGAGTTTATAACATAAATTCGGAGGGGATCTATTAAATATATAAGTTTATAATTCTTTTGCCTTCCATCTTAACATTTTACGTAACA